TGTCTCCAGACATATACCAGATTTTTTTTTTTTTTTCTTCCTAATTGGAAATATTCTTTAAAACCAAGACAGTGCAGAGAAGACGTAGATCCATTTTTCCTCTCAGATTCCTGCTTAAAACAGGAAGATGAGTTAAAACTGTAGTGGACTTAGAGACAATTCAAAACACTGATCTAGGTTTTAATTTGCTTGTTTAAGTGGAGTACAAATGCTCTCCTGAGCCCATTTGGACCTATGCACAACAAAACAGCAAAATCTGCTGGGGTGGCACATAAGGAGTTTGCAGTGGGAAAATGTTCAAAAATTTTTTCAGGCTTGCATATTTTTCTCTTTTTTTAATGGTTTGTGGAGATCTTTTTTCTGTCAGAGGAGAATCTGAAATAAAAAGGGCTCTTCACAGCCTCCTTGGTAGGCTGTTGAAGGTTTTCAAATGTAAGAAAAAAATGTTGTGGGAAGAAAAACCCAGCAAAGCTTGGTGAGCTTAGCTGGAGCTTTAAAGAGATTATACCCAAAGTTCAGACAGACTTAGAAAAAGTTGAACTTGATTGTTATCTTGAAAAGCTTTCAAAGGCAGGGATCATCAACACAACCACAGCTCTCATCTCTGGCAAACAATTTCAAGCAGCTTTAGTATCAGATAGTATAGCCTGGAGACTCAGGAGAGAATTTTCAGGGCTCCTGTTTCTTTATGGGTTTCAGATTTGGAAGCAAAGTTTACTGTTGCTACCTCTAGAGAAAAAAAAATTACTTAGATACTGAAGATGTATATGATGGTCATTCCCTCAGTGTTGTTTTCAATGACAGCAAGAATAAATCTGATATGATTTTATATATATATATATATATATATTTTAAAGCATTAGTCTTTGTGGTTGGAAACAACACTATAGGAAACTTTAACCCCTCTGCCAGACATAGTATTTTGGCTGTTCAGAAGTCAGGTTTTATGGGCACATCACAGTGGTTTGTTAACTACAGGAAATAAATTACTGGGTTCATTTCATCTTGTTTAAAGGGAGAATTGCAGCACCACCATAGCATCTTTATAGATAGTCATATTATCATAGAGTCATAGAATCATAGAATGGTTTGGATTAGAGGGACCTTAAAAAACATCTAGTTCCACCCCATTTCCATGAACAGAGACACCCTCCAAAAGAACATGTTGTTCAAAGCTCCATCCAGTTTTGCCTTGAGCACTTCCAGGGATGGGGCATCCACAGCTTCTCTGGCCAACCTGTTCCAGTGCCTCACCACCCTCACAGTAAAGAATTACATCCTATTATCTAATACAAACATACTCTATTTCAGTTTAAACTTGTCAAGGGCTAATATGGTGAATATGGTACTTGAAGTGATCTCCTAACATTTTTTTTTAGCATTATCTTTGTGAGTACAAGTGACTGGACACATCCTTTTTCAGGGACTGGAAAACAAAGTGCTAATATTACTTGCTAAACGAGCTTCTTTTGGGGTCTCTTGTGTTTTGGAAAATGGGAGATGAGGTTCATGGTCTCGATTCACAGAGAGAATGAATAATGTGTAAAATAGTTAGGCCTGCCTACTGCAATGGCATGCCCTGCTACAGGCTGCCAGAACAGAAATGTGCTGGGGACACAGCTTTTGACAAACTGTTTCTAGAGTCATATAAAACTAAATTATTCCAGATTAGTAATCTATTTATAATATTAAATAGGTATTTAAAATCATCTTTCAAGTCAAATGTCAGCAGTGAATATGAATTTAATAGTTTTATCTTTTTTTGCCACGTTGTCTGCAACAAAAATTGTGCTTCAAGGGAGACTTCCCAACTATGTGAGAGTCAGTTTGAAGCTCATTAGCCTCAGTTTGATCAAATTTACTTGTACCTGGTATCCTCTGCTTTAGCAGAGAATAGGAACAAGATATTAATGACATGATAGCACTGAGGAACATCTACAGTCAGGAAAAATTAAATTACCTTGTCATAATTTATTCTGTTACGGCAAAAGAATCTCTCTTTAAAATTCAAAAAATTTAAGGAAAGGAAATAAATTTAACACACCTACATAGTTTGTTAAACTATTCCACCCAACCAACTTTTTCCTTCCGGTGTTCTGTTATGGTGGTCGGAGTCTAGTCCTAGTGCCAGGCTGAGGAATGATCTTGTATCTGCATTCTCCATAGGTGTTAAGGAGTGGACATTTCCATTTCAGAAAAAGGGAAAAGCTAAAAAAGCTCTAACAGCAATCAAATGATTTATCTGCCTTCCGCTACATGATGCTTTGCAAGATTTCATCTTCAGTACTAAGAGAACAGACAAGTCTTTCAGACTCATGTTTTGCATTATTAACCTCTCCTAATCCATAGAATTTCACCTTCAGCAAGTATGAGATGTATATGCAATTTATTATAAGAAAGAATGTTGAAACAGTGAGTTTTTCTGTGCTTATCTTAGCATTTATATAGTTTATTCATCATTAAAATCAATGCATAATCATAACTGGATGTATGAGCAAGCTGTCAGGCACAGTGACAAATTCAAGGAGGCAAGTAATTTACCAGAGTCTTTGCATTTGGCTAAGGGATAACAGGTTATGGTGGCAATCTTTTCACACAATCATTTTGAGATCATTTTTCAAGCACAGATTTAAATAGAGAGGCTATCTTGGAACATTCAGTGCAAGGACAAAAATATAAAAATATATAACTAATGAAATAAGAGTGCTCAGATGTTGACAGGTACATGATAGTATAGCTGCTTGAAATTGTTGCTTTCTTATCTGTGTTAATGTGTTTGAATGTTCACACTAACATGGGATTCATAAATATTTTAGCTTGGTGAGAATAGATCGGGTGAACTAGTAGTCTGTCCATGACAATAAGCAATCTGAGTTGTAGTATGGTAGATTTATAGAACAAACACAGGTCCATTTCTTAGTCTTTATCCAAGGTTTGACCCAAATCCTGCAGAAGTTAATCATAGCTTAATCCAGTATCTATTGCAGCCTCTGGAAAGCTCTCATACTCTGACTCTCTAGTGAGGGTCTTTTCACAAGGTGACAGTAAAAAGCTTCAAGATAAGCACAGAAGCAAGATCTGAACAACTGCAGTGTTATAGAAGCAAGCTTTCAGGTATTTCCCACTGATTCTGTTGAGGAAAATGCTTCACACCTTCTTTTCAGGTCCTTAAAAGAACAAGTGTCTGTAGAAAATTTGCTTTGGGGGAAAACACATGCTTGAATTACCTATGCATAAATCTCAGACAGTCAAGATTATTTTAGGCATCTTTTTGGGCATCAGTTTTCAGCTTAGAACAATTTTGCACAGCCAGCAAGGCACCAGAATTAGGTCAATTGAATAGTGGGTGTCTTGCAAACTTTGCCAGTTTGGTGTTAAGTAGCAAGCCTCACACAACAACAACAACAAAAAGAAGTATGTTGACATGGAAATCTCAGTTAACTATATTTCTGAGACTAATACCAACAAAAAGACATGTAAGCTAAAAACATGGCAACAGGAAGCATTTTATCTGGATAATGCATCGATGAAAGGACCTGGTCTGTGACCCATTTAATTTGGAGAGTAAAAGCCCATGATCAAAGAAAACCCTATTTTTCTTATTAGTGTCTGTAAAGTGACCAAATGGTAAATATACCTCAAAGTTTTCACACTTAATTGGGTTTTACTTCTAAATAAGAGTATAAGTAGAATTTTCTAGGCACCAAAGTGCCTATTTGAAGATAGTTTAGTCAGACACAGGAAATGCTGAAGGCAGAGGTAGCAGTAGGCCAATCTGTCACACATTCTTCACTACTGCTATAAGCTGTGCAATTATTGAAAACATCTATTTAGAATTCCTACATCAAGTCTAAGCCTTTCAAATCAGCTACCATAGAACTATACGTGTATAATAATTATATGTGTATAGTGGAAAAAGAGGGTGAATTAATGTTTCTAAATTATGTCAGGAAATTGATAACTCTACTTGTTCTGTTGGCTAAGGGAAACATCTGGAAGAGATGGAAACTAATGACATTTACACATAAAAATTCCTCAGTATTTCAAGGTGCACATTCTCCTCCAGGGTAGTGAATGCCCTCTTTAATTTAAGGAGGTTTTCAAAAGCATGGTGAAAGCAAAGTAGAAGCACTTGCCTTGGCTACCTCGTGAGGGAGGAAGGATCTTTATGCTTGTGATGTTTGTTCAGCATGGTTATTAAATGAATTTTGGACATATTGAGTAGGAAAAACTACAGTGATATGATCCTTCAGAAGGTCATTTTCTGCAACTATCTGCATCTTGCAATGTGGCTTAGGACACAAATAATAAAGGATTTCTTTAGTTTTCATAAGTTTCTTAGATATCTGTTGAATTCAGCAGTGGGTGTCTTTCTATTTTGTAGGTATATTTATGTTTTCCTGACTTTATTCTTCAGGAAATATATTTATCATTTATTATATACATGGACAACTCAGGAAGCAATTTAAATGGAAAAGCATTTATAAATGCATGCTCCTTAGAAGATCTTTGTGAGAATCACTGGATTCTCATTTGAGAAATAACATCTTGAGGTTTGGGAGGTATAGAAACTGAGTGTATTACCTGTCATCCTTTTCAGGAATGTAACTGACCTTCCTTACTTTCAGAAAAGTGCAGAGACAATTATGCCTTAGCTGTCACTCTCTTCCCCAAAGATTTTTTTGCATGCAAAAAGCGCACTGTTAAAATAAGATAGCACATATCTCAAGAAAGCTCAAACATTTCCAGCTGAAGATGTTTGTGAGACACAAGGTGAATCAATCTCCTATGAGGAGCAGCTGAGGAAGCTGAGGCTGTTTAGCATGAAGAAAAGGAGGCTCAGGGAGCCAGGTGAGGGTAGGTCTCTTCTTCCAGGCAAACAGCAAGAGGACAAAGTTTTAAGCTGCATCAGGGGTGGTTTAGCCTGGATATTAGGATGAAGTTCTTCACAGAAGAGTGATTGGGCATTGGAATGGGCTGCCCAGGGATGTGGTAGAGTCACCATCCCCAGAAGTGTTTAACACATGTTAAATGTGGTACGTAGTGCCACAGGCTACTCGGAGAGATGGTGCTCGGTCATAGGCTGGACTTGATGATCTCTCTGACCTAAGTGATTCTGTGAATCTGTGATTCTTTGTAGAAAGAGCTCAGAGAGTGTTATTTTTTAGATTTTATTTTTTTTTTTTTGAGATGAATGAAGTTGGGAAAAACAAATTCTAGCATCTTCTAATATAGTTTAAATGAGATCTTTCTTACACTGTCTTTATATTTATGCTCTTCAGATGACACATCCTGCAGGAAGATGTTCTTGAATAGAGGCATGCTGAGAGGGTAGGAGTTTCTTATTCACTCTTTTAAAATCCCTTCTTCTAAATTTGCGAGCTGTATGCAGGGAAAAATGTGCCTGGTTTCTTCCCCCTACATTTTTCTTCATAAACAGCTAAATTTTCTAGATGAGTTCTTTCAAGAAATCCCAGTAAGATCAGACAAAGCTAGTCAGAAGACAAATTCAGGTTATATCAGAGCCAAAATAAAACATGAAGATGTGTCATTTGGCAGAGTGAGACACCCTGGGGGCTGAGCACTGGTTAGAGAAGTAGATGATTAAGGTTCTGCTTGATGCTGTGCTGGCATAGAATGATTAAATAAACATTTGAAACTGATCCTCTGTTAGCTTTGCTAAGTTTCCCAGCCAACCAGTTGCATGTAGATACACACTTGTTTTTCTGCATCCAGGAAGAAAATCAGTTCTCAGTGTGAGAACAAATTTTCTGACACATTCATCATTTTCCTCAAAGCTTTTAAGTTAGTGCATTAAAAAAAGAAAAACAAACAAACAAAAAAACCCCAACAAAAACAGAATCACAATTTTAAGGATAGTTCTTTAGAAAGGTCAACTCAGCCTGCTTGTGTTTTCATGTTAGCAACTAAGAAGCATGATAAGACTATCAGTCCTTTTTCCTTAAATAACTGAAGATTCTGAGAAATTTCACAGTTAAATTTTGTGATATCCCATTATGAAGGGAAAGAGACACCCGAGATTTGTAAATGCCTGTGGCTGAAAGGAAAAAGTCAGAGGGTCTGCAAAAACTCACAAAGTTTTATTCATAAATTACATACTTGGCATAGAGACCAGCATAGTAGTACTACTATCTAGGCACACAGCAGTGGTTTTAGGTAATGGGATAAGATGAAAAAGAAGAGAGAAAGGAAGAGATTAATTAAATATCAAGAAAGTGAGAGAGAGAAAGAAAGAGAGCAAGAAATAAAGTGAGTGAGAAAAAGAGATCACCAGTTCTGGTTTCGGTACTGATCCAGGGACAGGATGTCCAGGGTCCTGGTATGCACAACCAGGCTATTTGGGAGTACCCATTTAGAGACAGATTTTCTACATCCTGAATATAGGTTTCTCACTTCCTATGCAAACTAGTTATCAGTCACAGCGTTTTCTTTCTTCTGGAAATGTGTCAGAGGGCTTCAGGGGACTTTGGTGGTCTTCATCCCTCCTACAGTCCAATGTTCACTTCTTGGCTTCATTCCTGCACGTGTGCTGTACTGTGTTGTGCTTATGTCCAGGACCTGGAGCAAGGATATTTGTCCTGGAAAAGTGCTGTCCTGCCTCTTTATAGTCCCCTTCTCCTGACACATGGTATTCTTCCACATGGAGTGTTATTACCAATAATCCTTGTCTGCTATTACCAATGACCCATGGTTGGCTTCACAGTCATCTGGCTATCAGTGTTTGAGACACACACCTTAGACCCTTATGGCATTCTACAAATTTCCTCTCTTAAATCAGATAACATTTTAAAATGCTGGGATTTCTTGTGGAACAACAATTCAGTATATGATCAATCTTCTAGAAATGCTGGATTAAGAGGATTTTGTAAGACTGAGTATGACAACATGCTTGTCCAGTATATCAGATCTTAGTGCACAGATTCTTGAATCTTGCAGTAAAAATTATATGTATCAAAGATATTTGTGAAGGAAGGAAATAGAATGTAGTGCACTATCCCCTTTGGAAGTAATAAGCAGCTTCAGGGTATGATTAACTATCATCTGTTTGACAACTGCAGTGTTAGATTCAAACAAAAAGAAAGCATTAGACTTACCTACCACTGATCTATAAAATATATTTTAAGTTATTAAATGAAATGTTTTCCAGTATTTTCTGCTGTTTAAAACTACTATTTAAAATTTCCTCAGAAACAAGATTACAAGGATTCAAAAGATCTCTTAAGATTTGCACATTCTTATTTTTTCAGAACCTAGTAGCATCTTTTCCCTGAGCAGCACATCTTGAAGCTTGCTTGATTTGTTCTCTTTCTTCCTCTGTCAAGCAGTCTCTTCCCAGCTATTTAATCTTGTATGAGCACATTTCATCCACGCTGGCTTTCTTTTTTTGCTTATCTCTGAAACTGTTCTGTAGCCTATAGATGTATCATCATCTAACATATTATCTACCTAAACTGTTTTATCCATGCACGGGGCTATAGAGTCCTTGATACAGAGACAACAGGTAGTCAGCATGCAGCTGATGCATACATAATGAAGCCAGGTCTTTAAAAGTGATTGCTAATTTTGAAGCATTCAAACAGACCATTCCTAGACTTTAGAAAGGGAGGATGCTGAGTATCACCATTAAAATGTAACAGCCTGAAAACAACTGGTGCTAATGTTGATGACAATGGTAGTTGCTGGAGTTTTGACCATTGCTGTGCTTATTCTGCACTAAGACAGGAGGGATTTTTGTCATAAGAAGACTAATCTTCAAGGACTTGGGTTTCCTGAAGGCTTAGAACCAAATCTCAGATATCATCAGAGGCCAGGGCTTAAGCAATCCTTTTTATCTCCACCGGTGAGCCAAATATCATTTCAGTATATTATTAGGTTTACATTTCTTGTCTAAAAATAGAATGTATACCTATGTTCTCAGGCTTCTTACCTGCAGGTGGTTTATTCTGCCTCTGCTCTAATCTAAAATCCAAAGAGTTAAAGACACGAAAGTGTTCACTTTTTACACCAGGAGTGGCTTCTGCTGATTTTTTGCTTTAAGAGTCTGTGAAGTCTACGTGAAAGCAAAAGAATATATTTTTGCAGCATGTATCAATCTTCTGGTAGTCTTTGATCTCTTTAAGGTTATTCATGGTCTAAATGGCTACCACACTTTTATAGAAATAAATGAAAGCTGGATTTGAAATAATTGACACCAAAGGGAAAACATGTTAAAAGTGGTAATCTCTATTCACCACTTAATTTTTTTTTCCAGTGCCAACACTTCAAAGGTAAATTAATCCTTATTTTTTTCTTGAAACCTAGTGATTTTGCCAAAGTAAAGACAATATATTATAAAAGCAGATATGTGCACACTCTTCACAAGGAATACACCAAAGAAAGTTCTAAGAAAAAAATATTTTTGTCAACAAAACCATTGCCTTAAAAATTTTTTCTTAAAATTTACTTAAACGATTTTTCTTTCTTAGTTTGAAGTCATAAGTGAAATTAGAAAAAAAAAATCAAACCGGTCCAAACCCAAAAACCTGTAAACTACATTGTGTGCAACATATCTATACCTCTTGTGAATTTGTCTTTTTCAAAATTCTTGTGTTTTGTGATAGCATCAGTTCTCTACACCCTGAGGATAAACTCTTGATTGATACAGTTAGTAGGGAGAAAAAAGTGGACGACCAGCTTCTACTGGTTTATGTAAGTAGATGTGGTAATAGAAGAGGGCATGCTGGGATTTATTCTTGCTAGATCTGCGAACTTTCATGGTCCAGATCACATTCTCATGTGCAGTGTAATACAAAAAGTTAATCAGAATGGTACTGCACATAGTCCTTTGCAAGATACTAAGTTCTTTGTAGATGCTAAATGAGGCATATCTCAATAAATTCCCTGCCTGAAACCAATTTCTGAACAAGTCAGAGAGAATAAGGCATCTCAGAGCCTCTGTGGATTAGTGGGATTGAGAGGCACCCACACAGGACTTCCTGGTGGTGAAGCTTCTCCCTCATGGGCTCGTCATGAAAACACTGTCTAGAAAGGAACGACATGACAAAACATTTTTATATATTAATGGTATGTCAAATTCCTTTCAAAATGAATAGTGATATATAGTGATATCATCAGTGTTCATTTCCAAAGAGCATTTCTTCATAGGTATGTCAAAGGATAGTGAGGTCCTGAGCAAATTATTTTCAGCTTTTCCCCTTTTTCTCTGCATCCATATTTACTTAAAATCATGATCATTTATGTGTTTTCATTTAGGAGCAGCAGTGTAAGAACAGAAATTTAAAGCCTTTAACTAAAACTAACATCAAAGAATTAAAAATGGGATAGAATGTAATTAAATCACATCAATTTTTGAAAGTAATATGCATTCTTTTATTCATGGACAATGCATTGATTTCACTTCTTTAAAGCAAAGTAGCTCCTTAATATCAGCATTTAACATACTAGTTTGTAATTCAGATGGGATCTTGCTTCCATTTTTATAGGATTTTCTATATCCTCATTATGCCTTGGCCATTGCATCCAAGAGCAAAAACAGCCTGTTAAAGATGTCACAAAAGAGGTGGTTGGTCCAGTTTTCTTGGGAAAGTATTCTATTTTAAGCCAGGTAAATTTGATCAGCCATTGCATTGTTTTTTAATTAATTTATATTTAATCTACTGATTGAAAAAGAAAGAAAAATAATTAAAAGGAGTATCAGAGGTAAAAATTCAGGTAGCACTTGCTGGAATGGGGGGTACCAGAGTCCATTTCCTTCTGATTGCCATCACTGTGTTACAAAACATTTAAAATTTAGAAGCACCTGCAGGTTTTGAGCCTTTTCTTCACTGATGTAAACAATATTAAAACTTTCTTAGCAGCAAGAGATGTGATATTTGGCTCATTGTTACTCTACTGAGATGCTCACAGCAAAGAAGTGAAAGAATAAAGTTCAACATAAGTTTTGAGAGATTTCTAAAAAAAAAAGCGATTATAACTTCTCCTTTTACAAAGGGTCAGTTCTGTAAGGCAATCTCAGAGGGTGACATTACATTATTATACCAATTTGTCTCCTAAATTAAAGCCATTTAGCCTGTTATTTAGTGTGCAGCTGCAGAACTGATGTGTTTTATTTTATTTTATTTTAATGTGCTTTTTTATAGATGGGAAAAAGAAAACTCTATATGGAGGTAAAAATCAAATCAACTCTAAAGATGTTGATTATGATAGGAACTGTCTCTAGCAAGAGGAACAATAATCTGAACAGATCAAAATGCTCTCCTTTGTTACATATATCTTGTTGGTTAAAAACACAGCAGTACAGAGATATCCCTTTACACAGACATCTTATTCTCTTTACATCTGTTCTGTTTTTCTGATAAAGTACTTTCCCTAAAAGAGACATAAGTGCATTTGTGCAGCCACAGGAAATATTTCACGTGTTGAGACCATGGATAGTGTCTTAATTATGAAATAACTTAATTTCTATTTTATATGCTATTTATATCCTATGTTATATATACCATTGTTTTATGCACTACTATTTATTTTACTTCTTATGCCTAAAATATTTGACTGATCTACCAGGAATAAGAAACAGTATCTACAAGACAGATGACCATATGGAAAACATGGAGAAATGCAAGACTACTGCACGATGAAATCTGGACAATTTGAATCTTACTGTAAGCTTGTTCAGAATTTCTTCAAATTCAGCTCTAATTTTAATCCTTTTCTTTCTTTACAATTCAGAGTGCTTATCATCATACTGTGTTAGGCAGAAGCAGTATTTCTATCAGAATGATAAAGTGCTGTCCTGGCTGGTCAGTTTTCTAAATCTGTGAATAGTTTTTATATATGCCATAAGATATAAATTTACTTTAATGGAATACTATCTCCTCCTGAAGTTTCTCCCTATCTCTACACCTAGCTTTAATTTTGACTCTTGGTGACCTTCTAATAAGCACACTCCTTTCATATTTTTTGCTCCATTTTTAGGTTTTTTGGTACTAAAGTGTCATTTGTCATACCTTCTTGGTTGTTTTTTTTCAGTCTCTTTGGTTCTGATTGCTTTTCTAAATTGCACATCGGTCCCTTATTGTCTCATTAAAACTCTATCATATTTTTTATATTTCCAAAGAAGCACATTTATATGTCAGAGAACAACAGCACTGACATATAACAGTATTCTGTTCTGCTTTTATTCAAAGCAATTGCCACATGTACACAGTCCTATATTCAAATATTCTGAACAAGGGTAAATGCCCAGGATTTATCAGTTTTATCAAAGTATCTCTACACAAGCAGGCATAGGAGTTTACTTTTCTGTGGGCAGCAGAAGTGGGATTACATCCCAGGGTGGCAGGCTCCAGGGGGTTGTTACAAGCAGTAGTGTTACACTGAGTTTTTAGTGATGGGATCATATGGTGCAGGTCTGTACCTGGAGGTGGTGGAGTGAGTTTGGATCAGCTATGAAGGCTCACAGTTCTGCACTTTGACCAAGTGATCTGATGGTTGGGAAATCCTGAATGGCTACACTGTGATTATGATCCAGCATAATCTCATCTTTCTACTGGCACTGAGGATAATGGAGAAACCTCAGGATGAAATTCAGTCCTAACTCTTACTAATGTCTATTCAAATTCTATTCTGTAGATATTTTCTGAAATGACTCATGACCTATCAGCATTTCACTGAGGCGTTGTCCTTGTCTGTTTAAGTCTTTCTAGTGTGGAATGACAGGAAGTAATGTCAACTGTGACAGAAAGAGAAATCAGTAGGGAACATCTTAGCACCCTGTCAAAGAAACCCTGCAACTTTTTTATCACAGCACAAGATGAAAATACTGTTTTGTAATTATGACTCACTGATTTTGGGTAGTTCAAGTGAAAAGACCAACAAAAGTAACATTTATAGCAACTGCTCTCCTTCCTGTCTCTTGGAGTTCTTTATCCATATATAGCATTAATTTCTTTTTGCAGGGACCATCACACCTGGAGAAAACCTGGGCACCTGTGCTGTTAGAGAAAGGCTCTAGCTGTTCTTTGGACCCCTCAATATTTATTTTTTTAAATATTTTTATTTTTAATATATGAAGAAAGAAGGCTTTTTTTGACTTCTTTCACATTTTCTCAGCCATTCCTCTCCTATCAGATGATGGTCAGAAACACGTTTTTCTCTGAAATTTCCTTTCAATTTGAACTAATCTGACAAAGCAGAGTTTAAACTGCAAAATTAAATTATTGCTGTAATTTCTTCATCTATGTGCTTAATTTAATTATATTATGACAGTAATCATGAAAGCAAATCTAGTTTTTGCATAAAGCAACCAATAGCAAGATTCACATTCTTTTTGGCTGGTCATAATGTGAAGATCTGTTATCTGTAAATCTTTCCACAAAAGCTCCTTTTAAATGATCAGTGTTTCCTTCCATACACATTAAGAAAATAACCCTATGTTTAAACAATACTTGATTTAAATATTTATTATTTAACCTTTCAGTAAAAATGTTTACTGAATATCATTTAAATATTTTAATTTTTTAGCAATAAATAAAATGCAAACCTGCATTTAAATAATGTTAAATTTGTGACACAAATTACCTCAAGCCACGCAATTCCAAAGTCAAGTTGAAAATATATTGTTATTTGTATTCAGTTTAAAACAAAACATGCCAAAGCCCAAGGATAGAATTGGAATGAGTCATGAAAGGTCCTGGTGTAAAAAAAGAAATCTGAGTACATTAGAACTGTTATATTTTAGTTCTTGTTTAATTATTAAAAATAGTCACAATTACATACATTTGGAAGAAACAACTTCTTTAACTCTAAATGATTTAAGAAATATAAATCTCTGGGCAACCCAAGAAAATCCTGGAATGCATGGAGGATAAATTCTGTCCTGAGTAAACCAAAATGTTTTTTCCATTAATATCTATGCCCAAAACATTTTCTGTCTCTTTAAAGCCAGTGCCGAGGCCAGAAACAGAAATAGCCCCCAGAAGGGCTGGGGGATTCCCTTTACAAAGCTGAAGTCACAGAAGCAGTATCTCTTGCCTCGTGGTCTTTGTCTAAGGTAGAGGCTCTGCTTTTGGGTTTTTGGGTTTTTCGGCTTTTCCCCCTTCTTTTGTTTCTCTCATATTTATTTCTTCTTATTTGTTGGTGGAAACGGATTTGTTAAAAATAAGGTCAGGAAACTCATTCTGGAGTTCCCCTTAAACTGTCTAAAACCAAGAGAGGCTAGGGAAGAGGGAAGGCAATGATGGACATGGTGTCATGAACATGAGTGAGCTGTTTGGGAACATCAAGGTTGGAGGCAGGCTGGGCTGCTGTGATTAGACACAAGTTCACTGTCTTGAGGAACATGAACAGGTAGGGAGTAAAGTTAGGTCCAGCAAACTTCCAGATTTTCAAGGAGTTAGTCAACAGGACCCCCTGAGAAATTGCTCCTGAGGACAAGGAGCTGGCAGATTATTAAGGATATCTTCAGTTGAGCCAAGTACCAGTGAGCCCCAGGCACAAGAAATAAGGCAAGGGAGGCAAGAGACTGGCACGACTGAGTCGAGATCTGCTGGTCAAGCTAAAGCACAATAAGGATATACACCAGTGAGAGAAACAAGGTACCCTGGGAATAGTATAGAGATACAGTCACACTGCAGGACTGAGATGAGGAGGACCAAGTCAAAGCATAATTTATATCAGGATGTTAACAAACAGACTTAAGAACTTTCAAAGGACAGATTTTTTAAAAAGTAAAATACAGAAAAGCTTCTCTTTTACACAATTGTAAGAAAGAATTTATAACCTTGATGCATGATGCTTGCTGCATTTCTTTGCACGTGTATTCCAAAGGCATCTTTCTGTATACCATGTGAATATGACTTTCTGTATACCATGTGAATATGACTTCTATATGTGCTCCTGCTCATGATTCAGTTTCTTACACATCTTCACCTATCTTCACCTACATCTGTCACCTGCTTTGTGGCTGCTGCCTTTGAAGAGCATAGATGGTGACTAATTCCTGTGCAAATCCACCAGGACTGTGTGGTGTTTGTGTGTTTTGAATATTGCAGGATATCTCAAATGGGACATGACACCTATGTTTAAGCATCCCCCAAAGAGTTTAATTCTACAGCTGAATATATCCATAACCTCCACATTTAATATGCAGTTGCTTTTAAGGGACATATGCAGGTCAGCTGGTCTTTATAGATAAATATAGGGATTAAGACTGCTTGTCTGAGGGGAGTCCATAGTGTATGAATGGAAGAATAAGTTATGAGTGATTCACCTGTCCTGGAACAACAGAGAGGTTGTTTTAGAAAAGTTAGCTTAGTTACATATATACTAACCACGGTATTATCTAGAGGACAAACTTTCAACTCTAAATAAATAAACAAACACTATTTAGTGAAGAATAACCTAACTTTTGGATGTAAAAGGCTGCTGAAAACTGTTCTGTTGAAGTAATAGTCGCTCATTCTTCCCTCAGATACACTTCTCAGATACTGAGAAGGTGGTCAGAAAGAGCACCTGGGCCCTTCCAAAGAAGCCTTCATGTATATTCTGCTCATTCCCTTTTTCCCTATCTCCTGTTAAAATCTGACTCAAGATTTAGTTTGAAGACAGAAAGCCAGTGCTATGCTTATAAGAGTTATGTCTTATTTATGCAAATATAAGTAGCATTTATTTGAATACTGCTGAAGTTGAAGAGGGAAGATTTCACGTGAGGGATTTTTCTTAAACTTGTAGCTTTCTGATTATGATTCATTCCTCTTGTTACTGTCATTAGAAGCTACTCTGGGAAGATGAAAAGCATGTGGCAGCTATATATTATCACACCCAGAATCCCTGGAGCACACTGAAGAAGGGAAGAAAGTCAAATCAAATAACTTGACTGATATTAAGTCAATACCTTTCTCAATTTTACTCTTCTTCCCTTTCTTCCGCTCTCTCAGTTGGGATGCACTGACCTAGCATGCACAGGAATAACAGATATTAAATTCATGGAACATCCAGTTTGATTATGCTTTATTACAGAAGCTTGATGAGAACATAAGAGCAGAATGATAATCAAGGAAATGGAGACTCTTTTCAACTGAGGAAGTACAAAAAGTATTTATGTACTGATATCTCAGAGATATATTTTTTCCCCAAATTGAAAATTCTATATGTGAAGTATATGAGGGATAACATGTTGTCCAGGAATTCATACTGAGAAAAGCTTATGCTGAAAGAGTACTACCAAGCTGGCAAACACAAACCCTCCAACATTAAGGAAAGCTGTCTGCCTTTGCCAATTTACTTAAGATCTGTTAATTTCCTATCACTGTAATTAAAGTGATCACATGCTCCTTTTTCCATTGGATTTCTTCATCTGATACTCAGAGTATGATGAAGTAGTCTATGGCCTTTGCTCAGATTTTATCCATGGAGACATATGGACTTGTTCTTAAGATAACCATCAGTATGCTATTTTAGGACTTCCCATACAGCTGCAGGGTCACATGTTCTTGCAGTACTATGGAATAGTAATCTCTAAATATTTTAATTTTATATATTATTTTATATTTTATTTTGTACAAAAAATAAAGCATGGACTAAGAAGTTGAAAAAAATATAAATTTAATAATCACATTTGAGATGATGGAGTAAAGGATAGTTATAGAAGAGGGATTAACTGTCATTCTTTAGCTGCCCACATTTGATGAATTTTTTGTCTGTCATGAAGCACAGCCCTGCCACAGAAAATTTCAGCATAATGGCTTTCAATTTGGCAAAGTTATAAGAAACTGAAAAAAAAATTACGCAGCTATTTTTCGATAACTGTTAATATGTCAAAGTATATAAAAAAATAATTGTCATAGTTTTCTTGTCAGACTTTGTACCTTGCAGAGTTCTCCTTATTTTTTGAATTGGGCCTTAGGAATGAATTGTACAAAGTATGCTAATACCTTGTATGTGGTAATAGACTTACCCAGATGAAATATACATCTAATATTTAAAGGATCTGTTACATACAGTGAAAAAAGTTTTAGAAAGCTTATGGAATTTGTGTTGTACTAAAAATAATCAAGGTTCTTCTAGATGACAGTTCTAAAGAGAACTGTGGAAAATGGGACATAATTAAAATTTATAAATTAAATTATTCTACTTTCCAAGGAATTAAACTATAACTCTAGTACGTTATGTTATTTTTCTTCCTTTGCCTCTAGGACTAATAAAGGAGCAGCAGAAGTGAAGGCTGTGACACTGAATTAAGGGTCTCGAAAATGAATTCTGTTTTCAGCTCTGCAACTGATTTACTTTCTGACCTCCTCATTCACTTTTAGGATAAAATGCTTTAGGTTCCCTTCCCTTCCCTTCCCTTCCCTTCCCTTCCCTTCCCTTCCCTTCCCTTCCCTT